CATAAGCTGTCATAGACGCACAGGGGAAGGGACTGCGGGGAGCCTCTTCCAACTCTGCCTGTGTGTCACTGATATTCATCCAACCCATGTCCAAGTTTGTGCCTAGAGAAAATAACAATGGATCTCATTCATTTCCACAGTGGGAGAAGGACCCTGGGTTCAGCTAAGTCATTGCAAATAGCCTTATGTCCTGTCAAGCCTGTTACCTGCCCTGCCCTCACTCCCCCACCGGCACCGCCCCCACCCTGTGCTGTCAGGAGCTGGATCTGAAGCTGGCTCCACGGGGTCCCTGCCCTTGAGGAGCTCTCTGCCCCGAGGTGGTGGGGGGAGCCACACCCTGCACCCATGGTTGATGGGGTTGATGGTCACAGAGCAAGGGCCAGGTTCTACAATAGGCCTCTAGGGCAGGCAGGTGGGTTGATGGCAAGTCAAGGTCACCTTCCCAGATGGTGTTTGACCAGAGGCAGCTGAAATGCAGGGTCTGCCCCCAAGCTGGATGCGGGCATTTGGGGGGAAGAACGGGCCACAGGTATGGGGGGGAAGCCAATGCCATGAGGCTGGAGGGAATAAGTGCTGGGCCTGAAGAGGTGAGTGGAGCCCAACCAGGGAGACACGGAGAGTGTGATTTTCAGATGGGAGACCAGGGAGACAGGAGATGCTCAGAGCGGCCTGTGCCCTGAGGCCTGGAGACAGCTCAAGGGCAGGGTGGTGAGCCCCCAGCACCCCACAGTGTGGGAATGCCCCCAGCTTGCAGGAGGTCATGAAGGCCTGGGGATGAAGGGAACCACCCTTCCGGGGCAGCAGAAGAAACAGGATCAAGAGCAAGGCTCAGGATTCTGACTGCGGGACCCAAAACTGGCCGGGTGTGTAAGAGTCACCCAGATACTGTGGGCTCTGCTTCCTCCCCTAAAAGATGGTGGTGATGTGGGGACGGCCTGCCTGGGAGGGCTCTCTGTGATGGCAAAGGTGTCATGAGTCTGAAGCCTCTAGCCCAACCCTCATTAGGAAATGCGGGGCACTGAGGGGGACACTTGACGGGATGAGCACTGGGTGTTATTCTGTATGTTGGTAAATTGAACACCAATAAAAATTAATTTATTAAAAAAAATCAAAAAAAAAAAAAAAAAAAAGGAAATGCCTGGGCCGGGACACCTGGGTGGCTCAGCAGTTTAGCGCCGCCTTCAGCCTGGGGTGTGATCCTGGAGTCCTGAGATAGAGTCCCGTCGGGCTCCCTGCATGGAGCCTGCTTCAGCCTCTGCTGTGTCTCTGCCTCTCTCTCTCTCTCTCATGAATAAATAAACAAAATCTTAAAAAAAAAAAAAAAAAGGCAATGCCAGGGCGAGGAGGTGGGCCTGTTCCTGGGGGATTGGGTGGCCTTCAAGCATGTATAGCTCAGGCTCCCACAATCGGTCCTCCCATGGCCCAGACTGACTCTGGTGGGTGGAAGAGCGGCAGGAAGCTGGGAAGTGCAGGGGATGCCCTTGTGAAGCAGCCACTGGAGGCCCTTGGCTGGAGGCTCCTCTCTGCATGGAGGGCCTCTCCGACTTTGGGCGCCAGCAGAATCCCATGGCCACCTGTAGGGCCCTAGTCTAGTCCTGATGGAACAGGGCCACTCAGACAGTTGATCCTGCTGCCTCATTCAGCCAGGCCTGGGGCTCCCCTGCACCCCTAGCCTCTGCTCTCTCTCATGCTGGACAGCCCGTGTCTCCCCTGCCACTCAGCCTCCATCTCTCCAGCACTCCCAGATCCCTTGTCCAATGGCAAGCCTGCGGGTGGCCCCCTATGGCCAGTAGTCCCCTCCTTTATGCCCTAGGCTTGGGGAGGGCCTCCCTTAGGGCTTGGGGAGGAAGCTACTGGGCTCCCACTGTCCTGGAATATCCTGGAATGCACGCCCCCTCCTTCCTACCCCCAACCTCTGCCCCCCCCCCCCCGCACTTCTGGTTCAGCCCCAGAAGGTCTGTCAGGTGTCAGAGTCCACACACCTGCTCCTGGGGAGTCCATGGGCATCCTCTTGGTCTCTGTGAAGTGAGTGTCATTGCCCACATCCAGCTCTCAACACTAGGAATCCAGACGTGAACATGGTCGTTGATTTTTAATGAGGCCCTGAGCTGCTCAGTGGCTAAAAGCCTGAGTTCTGGGGTCAGACACACCCAGGTGCCTCCTTCCGTCTCAGTTTTCTCAGCTGGAAAGTGGGAATGGTCAGACCAACCTGTGTCTGGTGTTTTAAGGATGCTTACATCAGTAATGTAGAACACTTAGTGTGAGGCCTAGGACCCAGTAAGCACTCAGAAGGCACAGGTGTTCACAAATCTACTAAATTTTTAAGTACGTCATAAAATGGAAGCAGGGAAGCTACACATTTGTGCGATTTGTACACATGGATAGATTTGGGGCACTAACACCAGCACCGGGACTGTCGGCTTCCAAACCCCCAGATTCCCTCCTGCTGCACCTTCGCAGTCAAATCCTCCTCCTTCCCTGGCTGCCACCAACCGACCTGTTCCGTGTCGCTGGGGTGTTGTCCTCTCTGGAGTGGCCTAGAAGTGGAATTGCACAGTAGGCGACCTTCGAGACTGGCTTCCTTCAGGCAACATAATGCCTCTGAGGGTCCCCCTTGTGATTCCGTGTCAAGTCTGTCCTTTTTCACTGCTGAGTGGTGATCCCTTGCATGCAAGGGCTCCCTTTATCAGCTTCCTTACTCGAGGACGTTTGGGTCATTTCCAGTTTGAAGCCAGGGTAGGCAGAGCTGCTATGCGCATCTGTGTAGAACCCTCTGTGTGAACATAAACTTCCATTTCTCTTGAGCCGATATCGAGGATTGGGATTGCTGGATCTTTCGGCAAAACTGTTTGTGCAGAGTGGCTGCTCTGTCTTCCGTTCCACAGTGCACAGGAGCCCTTGCTGCTCTGCATCCTCACCAGGACTCAGCCCAGGGCGGTCTTCTTGCCACCCCCCTCAACACCCTTCTAGTAAATCTGTGGTAGATTCTAATTGTGGACTTGCTGACAACACCTTTTTATTGTGGCAAAATACAGATCACATCATTTTTTAAAGCATATAATTTAGTGTGGCATTAAATACTATATTGTTGTGCAGCCACGAATACAGTCCATCTCCAGGAATTTTTCATCATCTCAAACGCCACCCGTTAAACAGGAACTTCCTATTCCCACCTCCCCCGCACTCCAGCCCCTGATGACCTCGCCCTCACTTTCCACCTGTATGAATTTGCCCATTCTAGGTACTTCATATAAACAGTCATATGGCATTTGTCCTTTTGTATCTGGCTTATTATTACCCTAACGTCTTCAGGTTCATCCAAGTGGTAGCAGGTGTCAGGACCGCATACGTCTTTATGGTCAAGTAGTATTCTGTTGTGTGTACAGACCACATTTTATAATCCATCTAATGACAATTGAGTTACCCCTATCTTTTGGCTATTGCGAATAACTCTGCTGTGAACTTGGGTATGCAAATATCTCTGTGAGTTCCCATTTCACATTCTTTTGGGTATCTCATCTCCCTGTGATTGTTTTTTTGTTGTTGTTGTTGTTGTTGTTGTTTTTAAGATTTTGTTTATTTATTTGACAGTGACAGCACAAGCAGAAGGAGCAGCAGGCAGAGGGAGAGGGAGAAGCAGGGTCCCCACTGAGCAGGAAGCCCGAAGTGGGGCTCAATTCCAGGACCCTGGATCATGACCTGAGCCAAAGGCAGATGCTTAACCAACTGAGCCATCCAGGCATCCCAGGAATAGAATTTAGTGATTCATCACTTACATACAACACCCAGTGCTTATCACAACAAGTGCTCCTCTTAATCCCCATCCCCCATCTAGCCCCTCTCCCACCCACCTCACTCCAGGGACCCTCAGTTTCTTCTCTATAGTTAAGAGTCTCTTATGGTGGGCAGCCCCGGTGGCTCAGCAGTTTAGCGCCTGCCTTCAGCCCAGGGCCTGATCCTGGAGACCCGGGATCAAGTCCCACATCAGGCTCCCTGCATGGAGCTTGCTTCTCTCTCTGTCTGTGTCTCTTCCTCTATCTCTCTCTCTGTATCTCTCATTAATAAATAAATTTTTTTTCATTAATAAATAAATTAAAAAAAAGAGTCTCTTATGGTTTGTTTCTCTCTCTCTTTTTCCCCCTTCCGTATGTTCTTTTGTTTTGTTTCCTAAATTCTATATATGAACAAAATGATATGGTATTTGTATCTTTCTCTGACTTAATTAACTAAGTATAATATACTCTAGCTCCATCCACATTGTGGCAAATGGCAAGATTTCATTCTTTCTTCTGACTAATATCCCGTTGGGCCTCTTTTTTATCCATTCATCAGTCAATGGGCACTTGGGCTCTTTCCATAATTTGGCTATTTTTGATAATGCTACTGTAAACATCAGGGTGCAGGTGCCCCCTTTGAATCTATATTTTTGTATCTTTTGGGTAAATATCTAGCACTGCAGTTGCTAGGTAATAGGGTAGCTCTATTTTTAACTTTTTGAGGAACCTCCATACTGTTTTCCAGTGCGACTGCACCACTTTCCATTCCCACCAACAGTGCAGGAGGGTTCCCCCTTCTCTGCATCCTCACCAACACCTGTTGTTTCTTGTGCTGTTAATTTTAGTCATTCTGACCAGTGTGAAGTGGTATTTCATCATGGTTTTGATTTATATTTCCGTGATACCAAGTGATGCTGAGCATCTTTTCATGTGTCTGTATGTGTGTACATTTTCTCTAGATCTTCTTTGGAAAGATGTCTGTTCATGTCTTCTGCCCATTTCTTTTTTTTTTAAGATTTTATTTATTTATTCATGAGAGACCCAGAGAGAAAGGCAGAGACACAGGCAGAGAGAGAAGCAGGATCCCCGCAGGCTGTCCAACGCAGGACTCGATCCCGGGACTCCAGGATCATGCCCCAGGCCAAAGGCAGACACTCAACTACTGAGCCACCCAGGCATCCCTTCTGCCCATTTCTTAATTGGATTGCTTTTTGGGCATTGAGTAAAAATATGGAACACTTCAGGAGTTTGCATGTCCTCCTTGTGCAGGGGCCATGCTAATTTTCTCTGTATTATTCCAATTTTAGTCTACGTGCTAGTGAAAAGAGCACTACAAATTAATGCAATTATTGATTGGTACATTTGGCTTTTGGTCTACCATTGTATTATTTATTTTCTATTTGTCTTTTGGTTAACCTCCATTTATCTTTTCCTGCCCTTAAAAAATTATTTGAATACTTCTCAGTGTTCAATTAGCAATTTATCAGTTGGGCTTTTTTGGCTAGGTGTTTTGTGTATACACTTTTTTAGTGGATTGTTTAGGGGCTAACATAAGCAAATTTCTAAGTTCAGTTCACAATCTACATCATGTCAATATTTTACACTTCGAGTAGAACATAGAACCTTACCAATATACTGATCCCCTTGCCCCTTTTCCTGTATGTTATAGTTGTCACATATATCAGGCCCAAATACATTGAAAATCCCACTATACAGTGCAATGTTTTTTTTCTTTCAACTATTATGCATATTTTTTTAAATTAAAAGAAAAAAACTGCCTATTTACCTAGATATTCACAATTTCTGTTGTGAATCTTCCATCATTAGCAACATTCCAAACTTCCTTCTTGCCTGAGAACTTCTCTTAGGCAGTTCTGCTGGTCACAGATTATTTCTTTTCTTTTATCTGAGAAAGTCTTTATTCCTTTTTAAGGATATTTTTGCTGGATTGACAGCTCTTTCTTTCAATGCATTAGAAATATAATTCCACTCCCTTTTGGCCTCCATAGTTTCCAATGAGAAATCTGCTGTCATTCTTTTTTTTCTTCACTATTTTTTGCTAAGGGATGCTTCTTTCTCACTCCTCTCAAAAATTGCTCTCTTGGGATCCCTGGGTGGCGCAGCGGTTTAGCGCCTGCCTTTGGCCCAGGGCCGATCCTGGAGACCCAGGATCGAATCCCATGTCGGGCTTCTGGTGTATGGAGCCTGCTTCTCCCTCTGCCTGTGTCTCTGCCTCTCTCTCTCACTGTGTGCCTATCATAAATAAATAAAAAATTAAAAAAAAATTGCTCTCTTTGTGTGTAGTGGTTGGCAGTTTGACTACGATGTGTCTTGGTGTAGATTTCTTCAAGTTTAAACTGTTTGCAGTTCACTCAGCTTCTTGAATCCATAGGCAGGTTTGTGTCTCTTGCCAGATTTGGGGGAGTTTTCAGCCATTTTTCCTTTGAGTACTTTTTGTGCTCTCCCCGTGTCCTCTCCTTTGGGAATCCAGTCAGTGTCATGAAAGTTAGGTCTTCCATTAGAATCTCATGAAAAAAAAAAAAACCATGCACCCCCTCACCCCCCCTTGTTTTCAGGTTTCATTTTTGTTTTACTTTCTCCCTGTTGTTCAGGATGGGTGATTTCATATGTTCTATCTTCTGAATCATCATTCTTTTATTCTATCCTGTGTATTCTGCTGTTGAGTCTGAGCCTATCGAGTTTTTAAATTTCAATTATTATATTTTTCAGTTCTGAAATTTCCACTTGGTTCTTTTTTATATCCTCTCTTTCTTTGCTGAGACTTTTTATTTTTTCACTTGTTTTGAGTGTGTTCACAATTGCTGACTAAAGCTTTTTCATGATGACTTCTTTAAAATCTTTGTCACATCATTGGAAGACTTCTGTCACTTCAATGTTGACATCTATTCATTGTATTTTTTCATTCTGTTTGGGATCCTCCTGGCTCTAGGTATGATCACTGTTTTGTTGTGTGTTTTTTTAAATTGAAACTTAGACATTTTGGGGATGCCTGGGTGCCTCAGTGGTTAAGCATCTGCATTTGGCTCAGGGTGTGATCCTGGGATTGAGGATCGAGTCCCACATCGGGGTCCTTGCAGGAAGCCTGCTTCTCCCTCTGCCTATGTCTCTGCCTCTCTCTGTGTCTCTCACGAATAAATAAAATACTAATAAGATCTAAAAACATAATAAAAAAAAGAAACTTAGACATTTTGGGTATTATGTTGTGAGGCTCTAGGTCTGTTGAACCTGTTTTAGCTGGCTTCCTCTAGAGAAGAGGTAGGAGAATGGGATAAGGGGTTCCATCTCATTGTTGGTGCTAAGTGGAGATAGAAATTAGCACCAGGGTTCAGAGTTCCAGCTCCACAGTGGGCTTCAGTGATGCCTCCCTGACTGGAAGAGGTAGGAGTGTCTTGGTTCTGCTCTCCACATGGCCTCCTCACATACTGCAGCAGTGGGGAGTGGGGGATGAGGGGGTTACCAGCCAGAAGGAATGAAATTCCTGGCTCCCTAATTGTCCTTTTCTGGTATAAACCCAAAAAAGTGTGTGGAGGTGAAGTGCCCCTGGTGAGCACAGAAGTTTGATCCCTAATTGGCCTTTGCTGGCTAGGGCAGGGTGGTGCCACTGTGGTTTGGTGGTATTGGGCTGCAGAGGAGTAGTTATTGTCTACAAGTTTTCAGTCTTGCTAAGCTATCCCTTTTCTGGTCCTTTGACTCAAGACAGCAGGCTTTTCTGTCATTTCCAGGTTGTGCTGGCTTTTCAACTATAATATAGGACCCTGAAGGAAAACCTAGGGAACTCACCACCATGGCATTCCTTGGGTCTTGAGATGTCCAGTGGCCTTCTTCTCTCTGCTTGTTGGGGTCTTCTTATGTTTTATGTATCATATTCAGGATTCTTAGTTGTACTTAGCTGGAAGAATGCTCCATCTTCCCAGAAACAGAAGTCACTTAAATTTGATAAATACCACCAAGTAGCTCTTCAAAAATGTTGCTGGTTCATCTTGAACTAGGAAATAATATACCCTGAGTCTGCTTTAGGCAGATATATGTAGAAATGGCATTAGGACTTAACCAACATCCCAATACCTGTAGTTAATCAGTGACGGCTGGCTGGATGGTAAGTTGGATGGATGGATGGACAGATGAACAGAATATAGGAAAGGCCATCAGAAGGCCAGTACACAGTTTGGGCAAGGCATCACAGCATCAGTGATGGCCATAATACAAATAGCGATTACTGATTTCTTCCACTGTGCCAGGTAAATGTTTTTGTCATGTGATCTCATTCAATCCACAAGCAAGAGATGTCCATTTGAGAGAGGAGGAAAACACAGGCAGAAAGACATGGTCCTGAGCTGAGATTCAAGCCCAGAGACCCATGGTTCATGGACCCAAGATGCCCCCACTTTTCTCTCACACTCAATTGCCCAACTATGAGAAGCAATCTCAAGGAAAAGGAGATGACCAAGCCAAAACATTCTGCTGGTGATCAGAGGTTTTCCTGCCCCAGTGAATGTTGGTTGAACACATTTCAGAATCTTCTCCCTGAGATGGAAACCCATGCTGTGCTGTATTTGTGTATTCAACAAGGGTCAATCAAGAGTTTGCTCTGTGCTGAGCCCTGTGCCAGGTGCTGAGGGTACCCTGCAAGCAATAGGACAAATGTGGTCTTTGCCCTGGGACATTAGAGGGTCTGAAATCTCTCTCCCTCACCCCGAGGCCACCCTGTTGAAAGTAGGATGGAAAGGCAAAACCACTGCATGGTGCCCACCAGATGCCCTGCCCCACGCTCAGCTCTTCAGTCCCAAAGGTTCTGAGCAGCAACTAATATTGGTGGTGGGCATCTAGACCGTGAAAGGAAGCAAGCTGGAGGAAATGACTCCAGGGTTTGAGGGATGCTCCACTCTGCCTGTAGCTTAGGAGCAAGAGAGAGCCCATGCCCCAAACTCAGCACACCCAGTCTGTGCATTAGTGAGGTAGACTCACACCATCTATAGAAACCCAGCTGCCAACCAAGCCAGGCAGCCAGGTTTCCTGGGGGGTCCTCAGGCCCACCTGTAGCCCTCCTCTGACTCAGTTTCTCCAACTATTAATAGATAAGTGCATACATTCCTCCCTCTTTTTCTCTCTTTCCTCCATTCTCCTTGGTTCAGTGAAGATGCGAGGCAGTGTTTCCTCTAATACCTGAGGGTCAGGAATCTTCATTTCATTTCTAGGGAGTGAGCATCTTATCCTGTGCTAATTTGGGATTCACCATGTATGTTGACATCTGGGTGCTGAAGCCTGGCTTCCCGCAGCAGCACAGATCACCAGCCTGCAGTGTATGTGGCATTGTTAGCCAGCCCTGGGTCCCCGTCCTGGCACTGGAGACTGGAGTGGGTCCACCAAGAGCTGCCAGGATGGGAGACTGGTCGCCAGTGATGCCACTCTACCAGCAAGCACTGCCATCCTGCACTGGGGCCATTGGAACAGATCTGTATGCAAGTTCTCTTCACTGTTCTAGGACTTTCCTGCCCCACCCCCTGCCACATGGGGAAGGGTTCTGGAAAGGATCTTTTCACACTGTCATGTGCCACATGGTTACCAAGAGGATTGTGATGGTGGCTCACTCCAAAGAGTCAGTATAGAGCCAAGATTCACTGTCTCCACCCACCTTGAGGGGCTCTAAACTCTTCCAACTTTCCTCTGCGTAGACCTCATCATTGTTCTATCTAGGTGCTCATATAATTATGGTTTCAGGTCTCTTTGCCCTTCTCGATGGTATGTTCTGTAAGGGCAGGGCCCTCCTCCCATCACATTCTCCAGAATCCCCTCACCTGGCCACAACCCTAGAGACAGTAGCAGCTTGACAAACTGCCACTTGCCAAATGGAAAGACGGACAAGTATTTTATGAACACTGACTCTATTCCTGGTGCTTTATTCCTGTATTCCTGGTATACAGGGGGTGCCTAATAGTGACTTACCAAGAGATGAAGTTAATCTGCCAGAGAGCTGGTGTAACAGCTTTCGAGCACATTGTGCCAGAAAGTAAGGAAGTTGCTCGAAAAGCAAAAGGGTGCGTTGTGTCATGGGGACGTGGGAGCCCACCTGAAAGCCACTGCAGCTGGAGTGGTTTGAGGGGAAAAGCCACATCATCTTGGCTCATGATCCAGAGTGTAAAATAGATGTATGCAAGTCCACACAGATGGAAAGAAGTGGCAGATACATGGGAGAGGAGACAGAGCTGTTCCTTACAGGGAGCCACTGTCCTTATCCCGTCAAGGTGGCATGTGCTGTAATGGCCTGGGAAGACATGCAGACCCTCGAAGACAGCTGGGGTCCCCAAGGAAG